TTTGCTATTTAAAAACCTATCCACCGTGAAGTGTAATATCTCAGTAAGTAGATTTATTTATAAATATTTTATGTATGTACGATTGTATTTTTAAAAAATACTAAGTTGTCAAAAGATACAATAACTTATTTCAAATATACAAGGGGATGTTAAAAAACATACGAAATCCTAACCTCCGTGAAGCTATCTTCCGTGAATAATATTAAAAATGTATGATTTCTTAAAATTCTTGCATTCATCCCAGATATAGTTTTTGAGATGTAATTTGGTTAACCAAGGTATAAGTGAAAAAGCAGCCACTAATAACTGTAGTAACTAATCATTTTTGACTTATTTATTTTTAGAGAGTAACAAACCATAATTTGTTTTATCTAGACTGCAATATACGAAAATGTCCCGTAATTTTATTCCACCATTACGCTTATGAAGAAAGAAACAGAATAAATCAGAAGAAGTTTTATTTAAAAATCCACTGTAATTTGTAGCTTCGAGCCACTGTGCGTCCTGCCGCACGCCCCTGACCATAAATCCTGCCGGCTCCTGCACAGTTCAGGAAAAGTGGGAAGCAAGACCGACTACGAATTACGTTTATAACTTTGAATGTTTCTCAGAAAAATATGACTTATTTTATTTGAATTAAATTTAGTTTTGCTCGAAAGTTTTAAGCATCTTGTAACTATGCATTATTCATTACGGCGGCAGGAAATTTTCATCCTGCACAAATATTGGGATTACCGGAGATTATTCAATTTTACACGTTTTTCCAAAACTTTTACAAAATGCGGTTTAATGCTATTACGTCTTGCATTATTACCCAATGGCTATTTTTATACCATCAAAATTATGTTAATGGGTGAATAGATTGAGATGTCCCCCAAGTGAAAATGATTATTTTTTATTTTTGGTTGTTTCATTGTCTAGAATGGGGTTTTTGGGAAGCCACCAGGTCTAGTAATAACATAACATAAGTGGCTCTGCACTAATGCAAGAATTTTAAAAAACCATACATTTTGAATATTAAGGCTTCACGGAGGTTAGGATTTCGCATGTTTTTCTTAAAACATTCTTTTGTATATTTTAAATAAGTTATTGTATCTTTTCACACCTTAATATTTTTTTTAAAATACAATTATTATACATACATAAAATGTTTATAAAAAAAATCTAATTACTGACATATTACACTTCACGGTGGATAGGTTTTTAAATAGCAAATTAATGAACTTAAACTTTTAAATTATAAAACAGCAACAGTCTCATCTGCATAAAATTCTAACTGACCTTCAGGAATTACATGCATCTATAATGTCGTAAACAGAGGTTTTTGCTTATTTAAAATGATTAAAGCAAAAACAGATTCACGGAGGATAGAATAAATTTTTGAAACACCTACATATATGGTTATAAAAATTATTTCTTTCAATTTTTAATAATATTTTATATTTGATTCGATTGCTTTAGATGTGTTTAATTTACTTAGTGAACTGATATTTTTAGTATGCTTTTACTACCTCAGATATTTGAAAACATATAGGTTAACCTAGAAAGAGTAACAGTCACGGAGGATAGGTTTTAGACTTTTAAAACATTGTAAAAAATAATTAATTGCGGTTAAAAATCTGGAATCAAAACACAATAAAAGTGTAGGTCACCCTCCCACCTTTAAAATCGTACAGGTTTTCATGAAACTAAGTGATCTTTTAAATACAAATTGACAAGCTGTGGCTGAAGCAGATAATATTTTTTTGTCATTTTAGACATATTTGCTTATTAATTAAATACCAATTCAAAAATAATGCAATTTTATTGAAATTTACAGAGAAATCCTTAAAAATTGTTTGTTTGTGATAAAAAACGAAAACTCTCGTATTGGTAATAAAAAATGCGAACAATGAATTCATTGTTTTTCCAAATGAAAGATTAGTATTTTTGCAAACGTTACTTTTATGATTTTGCAAAAACCTATAAAGCTTTTTATTCAATTACTTTGCACGTAACAAAGGATTTTATCTATAAAAACATACATTTTACAAACACCCAGTTCTATTTGTTTTCAGTAACGGTGTAAAAGTGATAAAAATAATTAATATGGAGTTTGATTATTGCAAATGAATATAAATTTTATGTACAAAACAGATTGATTTTAACTTTAATGGTAAAGTTCAGTTCTGTAAAATATTCCCAAATCTTTAGATAATTATCGTGTCAAAATCGTTTCTATTTTTTCTTCCACTGTTAAAAAATCCATTACGAATAACTGCTTAACGAAAGGAGGATTTTTAGTTTGCAAATTAATCTTCGAACTAAATTGATTAAATAATGTTAAACTATGTATAAATGGTTTTTTTATAACTCAATTAGGATTAAATTAATTAATTGTCAAAATAATGTTTTTTTTACCTTAAATTTTTATTAAAAATAGTATAGGATTTAATACTGGCAGGTAAAAAGTGGCCATGGTGCGCAATTGATAATTACTCTTTTTTGTTGTTTTAATATGTTTTCTTTCGGGTTCGTTACACTTGTTGTAAACAAACAAAACTTGCGCAGCTTCGCATAGACTTATTCAATTTAAATGATACTTTCTCGTTTGTTCAAGCTTCGCAATCCTGAGTGGGTAGGTATTCAAACAATACGTAAAACGTATGTCGGCGTAAGGGGTTTGAGAACACATGTAAAGGTACACGTGCCGACATGGGATCACGTTTGAGTACGAAAAGGAATGCGTGAGCTCTATCCTTACCTGTTGCTTCTCCGACTGCTACCGCTTTGCCTTTAGTGTAATGTAAATGATGGGGGATTAACGTTTTTACAGGTTGTAAAGCTACCATTATGGTTTATTAATTGCGATCTAAATTTGAGAGGGCTTCAATTAACATCGAATTTGAATACAGGGGGAGTTTATATTTACATTCAAAAACGTGAAAAACCAGGAGACTATAGTCTAATAGACTATACGAGGTGTATTTAGAAAATATCGGGAATTTTCGTTTTTTGAAACAAATGTTTATTTATTCGTCTATAGACGAATAAATAAACATTTGTTTCAAAAAACGAAAATTCCCGATACATGTATACATTAATGTTGTCGCCTTCAAAATAGTCCCCATTGGATATTATGCACATGTGCCAGCTCTTCTTCCAATACTCGAAACACTTCTAAAACTCGATCTTTGGGAAAGCCTTTAGTTCTTTCAGCGATGCGCTTTTAATGTCATCTATGCTTGCAAAACGAGGGCCCTTTAAGGTTATCTTTATTTTTGGGAATAGGAAAAAGTCAGACAGAGGCATGTCTGGCGAATATGGAGGCTGGGGCATCATTACAGTGTTGTTTTTGGCCAAAAAAACAATTTTAGAACAAATTTTGCTGC